CACATACTCAAGGTCGAGAAGTCTTTCTCCAGGTAACAGATTCACACCACCATTACTTACATCCATCAAAGCTGTTTCCAGAATGTCATCGATGGCAAAGTTGAAGAGGAATGGTGAGATTGGGCAACCCTGTCTAACCCCACTGCTCGAATGGGACAATGGAGAGAGGTGGTTGTATGCCCTCACTCTCCCTGAGGTGTTTGCATATAGAGCTTTTAAGATGTTAATAAACTTCTCAGGCACATCCTTCTTCAATAGACAATCCCAGAGAACAGTCCTGTCCAACGAATCGAAGGCAGCCGTGATATCAAGAGACTACGATTGTTGGCGTTTGATAAGTATGACGGTGTTCCAACATTTGACGGAGAGCGAAGATATGATCAATACATCCTCGACCGGAACGGAACCCAGCCTGCTCCTCGCGAGTCAATCTTTCTCGAGTTTTGAACAACCTACTAAGTACGATAGGAGCCAATAGTTTGGACGCAATCGGAAGTAGACTTGTCCCCCGATAGTTGTTACAGGAACGACGTGAACCGTTTGTAAAGATAGGGACAAATATCGACTCATTCCATGACGTTGGTACACTCTCTAGTTCCCATATCTTTGTAAACAACGTCGTCAGTTCCTTAATCAGAAAGTCACCACCATCTTTAAAAAGAGCCGGAGGTAAGTAATCTGAGCCAGGTGATTTGTAACGCTTCAATTCTGCCCATCATCCAAGACGTCGATGGATGTTAGAGATTGGCATCCCATCATTCTCGCAGATTGTTTCGCTCACACCTGACTTCTTGCTGCCAGTGGCTCGGATGAGTTGGGAGAGCTTCCAGTAGTTACCACATGCAGCTGCTGCTTCCAGCTCATTAGCACGCTCCGACCACCAGGCTTCTCGGTCCTTACGCAAGCTTTGCCCAATTTCGCTACGTAACATCCTTCGTTTATGGTCAAACTCACGGTTACCCGGAGTAGACCGACGGGCTTCAATGAGTTGTAAGGAACCTGAAGAAACCCAATGCTTATAAGCGGGACGTTGCGCGAACCCACAACTGACTGTACCCGCCATTTTCATGGCGTCATGCAATTGCAACTAATGCTCATCTATACTTTTCGATGGAATGGTAGCTAGCCTAGAAACTAGCTCGGTTCGATACTTACTTGCAACAGAAGTTGCAACCAGCTTGCTAACATCAATCCGTTGGTGGCGGTCACTTCGTTGGCCACTGAAAAGTAAGGCAAGATTGGCGCAGACCAAGGTATGGTCAGAGTCCAGATAGGTACTCCAAAAGGAGCGGCAGTCTTGTACACAACCACGCCAGCGGTAGCTGATCGCAATGTGGTCAATCTGAGTCCAGGCTTGAGATGCAGAAGGAGGACGCCAGGTGGCACATCGGCGATGACTGTGCCGGAAGTTAGTGCTGGCCAGAAACAGGTTGTGGTCTGTGCACAGTTGCAGTAGACGGTCCCCGTTATCTGTCCTGCGACCAGCGAGTCCCCATCGGCCACCTAAACGACTCTCTTCTGTGCCTAGACGCCCGACCTGGGCATTCAAGTCTCCGGCTAGTACTACAATGTCTGTCGAACGCATTTTCCGGTGAAGAACAGTTAAATGGTGGTAGAATTCATCCTTGATTGCATACGGGCTGCAATCTGTCGGAGCATAGGCGATGACGGAAAGACATTGTTTCTCACGTCGATTTCTTCTCACTTTGATGGAACTTTCTGATCTAACAGCACATAACCGACTTTTAATGGGGATCCAATCGATTAGTGCTGCCTCAGCTCTAGCGCTTAGTGCGACACCAACGCCAGCAAGACTAGACGAAGATGCCACAGGGTCCCCGGATAAGTGCACGTAAACAAGCTTTTCGAAGCAACAGATGAAGAGCGAATTTGTAGTACTTCACCAGAGTCTTGAATACGGGTCTCGGATAGACAGCATACATCGATATTAAGACTTTCCACAGACATAGCCAGCCCTATCTGTTGTCCGACTTGCATAAGTGTGCGAACGTTGGAGGCAGTCAGTTTGAATGTTGCACTTGGTTTGAGTAAAACAACATACAATTTTCAACCAGGCAGTGACTCGAGAACGTTTAGAGAGAACCGAGTTTCCACCATAGGCGAGCTGCTGTATAAGTCGAAAAATAAGGATACATAAAGTGGGAATAAAAGAGAGTGAATAAACGTCGTAAAAATAATAATAACAATAATAGTAATAATGATAACACCAATGTGGATCGTTTGATTGTTAATCGGAGCAAGAGAAGTATTTTCCAGAAATATCGACATTTCATCATATTTGTGTGTGGGCTGTGATACTGCCCGGGTGCCCAAACCGAAGCAGCTGGTTATCTTAGGGGGCCATACCCCGAGCCTTTGACCAAAGGTCTGACCCACAAGGCAGTGGAACATCGTGAGGAGATGCAGTCCCATGGTAGCCAGTGACCAACGATTGGTTCATGCGCCATTTGTTCCTTCAGGATACTGGAACCCATGTGCACCATTGGTTTGGGATCCGGTTAAAGGGCCGGACATTTGCTTTTCGTCCACTCATTTTCGTAAACAACACCCCCGCCACGAAAAGACAGTGAGTAGGACTTCCCTGGCAGAGGCTGTATACGCGTGGCGGTGTGAGAGCATTTTGAGGGGGGGGCGGGTCCGCCACACTCTCGGCCATACCAGGGCATTCAGTGGCTCCAAAAAGCAAAGATTTGTGGTATAATTGAGTTGGTTTGGAAAGTCTCTTATTCCTCTAAATAAATGTTTTCTAGGCTGAGCCTTAGCACTACAAACATTACACTATGTGTAAGCTGAAAAAGTAAATGAGCTCGTACAATTCACTTGGTTGCATATTTTGAAATCTTTATATATGCCATTATTTTAACTATTTTCTATATATCCCCGTAAACAGTATGTGTTGTCTAACGAACAAGTTACTTAAACACTTTCTTACTCTAACTGTTTGCTTGATGGATTAGGTTTCTGTCACTGTCAAATAACAGAAATTCATATGGCAACTATTCTTGATAAGTTTTCTATGGGCTTACATTATTCACTTACTCTTGGTATAATTACAGTTCCCTCTGCATTTTTTGTCGTTGAGTATTTGATTTGGAAAGCACACAAAGAGAAATTACTTTGTATAAAGTACAGAACCTTTTGGTCTGTAAATGGTATTGTATTTTATGTGGTGTATTAAGAATTAAATTTTGTATGAAAATGAATTAACTTACTGTACGCATCATGTTTTTACAGTTCTTTAACAATCGTCTGATTACGATTTGAAAATTCAGATTAAAAGGTAGAGTAACAAATTTCCTTGGTGGTTTCCGCAACTGGCCCGGTTGTACCCCACTGATCACTGCTTCTCACTAGAACTCCAGGATATACATCTTGAAGTGAATCACTAATGAACATATGTCAGTCAGTATCAGAAGGATTTTGTGGAGATTGTAGTCATTTCAATAATTGAGATCATGAGTCAATGCATATAAATATTACTGTATATTAGAGTAAAGTCTGATGAATAATGTTCGGTTATATATGTTGTTTTAAATTTACAATATGGGAATTTTTAAAATTTTTTGCTTGAATAAAATCATATCAGTTTTTTGAATTAAGTTATGATAATACTATTTATTATTATAGAAAATATTTCATCCATCATAATAAATGCAATCACTCCAATCTGTATTTATTTGATTCATAATTTTAAAGTTCAATCAATTTTACGTGATACCTTTCATTGGAATAAAAGATTTGTAGTGTCAGTTATTATGCCAAGCCCATATACCTTATTCGAGCTTTCGGACATCCCATTTTATTCATTCTACTCGAGCCATACTTTGACCTTGTAAATTATTCGCTTATCAACCTAGACTGGTTTTATATGAGCGTATATGTGTGTGCCCTTCTTATTCCATTAATCACATGTCTGTAGCTTTATTTTGTCTGACTATAAATATTGAGTAACTCTTGACTAAAATGGAGTTGGCTTCACAGCCATCCTCCCTGTGCGTCATTTTGCTTGGCTCTGTTTCATTCACTTCATATACAAAATATATGTATTCAAATGCCATTCTCGTTAATTGACTTATTTAATTCCGTTATGGACTAACGCGATCTAAGTCGACGATGATAAACGAGAATAGGTGATGACAATCATCCATACGCTCTAAATGGAGTCAGATCAACGGGCCACAACAGATTATCTTTTATCTTTTCTTTAACACATCACAGAAGTTGTAAACGAATGATTATTCCTTTTTATATAGTGATAAATTTCAGAACTTACAATGGTCTAATAAGTATGTTCATAAAAATTGAATATAATTAAAGATTTATTACTGAATTTCGAAAACTACTTTTTTTTATATTCTAAACTTTATTTCGAATTTATTTGAGTATTTTGTCAATGTCAAATTAATATTGAACAATAACAATATCGAAATAATGAATATTAAATAAACATTCGAAAGTAAGAGATCTATTAAAAATGTCCAACTATTTTTACTTTAATTATTGGTTTTCGTGGGTGAATAAATATTCAATTGTCATAAGAATTGAGAGTAGATTTTTATTTAATTTCCGAAAATTTCATGTACTTTATGTTCAGTTTCAATGATCAGGAACTGTAGAGTTAAAAAATTACTGGATCTTTGAAAATATCATTTATAATCCTATTTATGGATTGAATTCAACAAAGTTTAATTATCTGAAATCTAATTGTACCTGTGATACTATTAGACAATTATCAAAAACGTTATCATTATAAATCTACAATTTGAATGAGATTATGTAAGTGGCATAGCAACTTACACAAACGACTATTGAGTGGCAGCACAAAGAAAGAACGCGAAATTATTGAAATGTTTTTCTAAAGGTGATTTCTTCACACTATATCTTTTTCCAGACATTACTGATAACAGTGGATTTCTCCTGACATCACTCAACGTATCAGTGAACTGAGGTCTATTAATCTGATCATTTTATATGGAGTTCTAATTTGTTTCGATTTGTTGTTGTTCATTATCTAAACCTAAAGCTCTACTAGCTTCCTGTAAACGTTGGTCTTCTTGTAAAATTAGTGGTAGTAATCTGTTCTTATTTATACTAGCCCGTTTTCTACAGGCCAATAATAATCTACATTCATTATCTAACAATTCTTGTATAATAGCCTTTTGTTGATCAATTGTTAGTGTTCGTTTTATCCAACGTCTAGCAGCCCATATATTTAATAATATAATTAGAGTCAGAAGCAAACCAATCGTTAGTAAAATCACAGTTGTTTGTTTCAATGCTCTAGTTGTGATTGGATATTCAATTGATTGCCATAAACTAGGTTGCATTGGATAAATTTTTAAATAAAACTCATTAATTAAATATATCCTATTAATAGATGTCCGTGGATTATCGGCTTGACTTGGTAAACGGTACGTTTGAATAAATAAAAAGCATTTCCATGTTCCATGATGTGTTAAATTTAAATAAGGAATTAATTGAATGCGTCGATTTAATCGTAAAGCTAAGTTACGTGAATATTCATAACCATTCAACTTCCATACTATTTGAGCTGATTCCATCCAAACAGCTGTATTATCCAATGCATTAAAATATCCTAGATTAGAATAAAGATAAAACGGATTACCTTCTAGTGCAATATATTTTACACCAGTAACAATCAAGGTATAAAAGATTGTATTCCACTTGTGATTCCCAAATGTCATTTGGCAGGTATAAAAACCTTGATCATAGTGATCTATACTTGGAAAGACTAAATAAGTATCCTCCATGTAAAATGAAGATATCTCTGGCAGTAAATTCCATTTCATTTCTTCATCAAACAGTCTATTTTGATTATTCTTAGGCTTTTTAGTTCTGTAAAATCGGCCAGATATAGATCCTGAGCCAGAATCGGTTGGATTTATCGATCTTCCATTTTTAAGCCATTTTATAGTCAAAGTATGCTCTTTAAATAATCGAGAGGTTAGACCGAAAATTCCTCGAGAAGTTAATTTTTTGGCAAGGTTGTAAGCTGGTGTTACACAGTCCATTCGAGCACTTTGCTTAACATGCATTCGTAGAATATTTTGATATGCATTCAAGTTAAGTTGATCTTTTGCAACCTGGAAAGTTATTTTGTCAGCAATATCATCAAGGCTACTAAAATCTTCATCTACACAATTATGATCACATTCTGTAGTCTGATGGCTAATCCCAGAACAATTGAACCCATATGGTTCTGGAGGAGGATTGTTACAAAACCGGTAACGTGTCCTACTTCCTGTATGACATCCTTGCCCATTAATGTTTTGCCCACCTGTAGGAAGACATGATGACCATGAACTCCATGTTCCCCAACCTGGAATACGTGGGCAACGTGTATTGACAAAACATGGTATACATTCTTTAGCTTGAGATTCATATGGATTTGAACTTTCACACATCACTGTTGATGACTGTACATTACCATATCCATCAAGACAACTTCGAACTCGACATCTTACTCCATTACCACAAGTAACGGAACAAGTTAAGGGTGTCGAAGACCACTGACCCCATCTATATTTTAAATTTCTAATAGCAAGGACATAACTAATTAAAAGACAAATTAGTATGAACCAGGAACAGTTTAGCATTCGACAAATAAGTTAAGTATAAATCATACTTTGAATGTCTTACAATATATTTACAGCGATTTATTGATTATCTTAATAGATTATTAATTTAAATAATAGACGATAACAGACAAAATATATAAGAATGTGTGAGTATATTAGGAAGAAATTCCAATCAGTTAGATAAACTTTACTTATTCAATCAAGAATACATGCCGAGGATAAGTCAATTCGGTATATATCATGGCTTGTTAATTAGAGAATTATAGAACTCTATAAGTGGGAATTAATGGAAAGTAGGAGAATGAACACTTATGAAAGTTCACAGTCATGAATATTTTGATCTGTTTACGTGATAGTTATAAATCGAGAAATTATTCAAGTCATTAATTTAACTAGGATAACGGATAAGCAATCCAGCTTTGAGATTAACTAAAGCAATACCTGGCTACATTACGAAACCTTAAAAAACTTTAAGATACAGATAAATTGTAAACATCAATTTGAAGGGAAATCAAAATTAGCTGATCGCGATTATACTTTTTAAAAAATTAGTTTGCAGATCGACGACAACTAATGACTTCTGATTAACAAAGACGATTGTTTCTCTGATGGAAGATCGTTGTATCTCAAATAAAGTAGTATCTTGAAAACAAGGAATGTCACTTAATTGCGTTATAGAGAGCAAATTATGAAGATAATCAGTTTGCGGCTACTAACTAAGAAGATATTCTGAATGTGAAAGGCTCTTGAGATAGTTTGGTTTACAAAGTGATAACTAATCCACGTAATATATATTACAAAGTGCCCAAGTGATCCACTCACAACACAGGTTGGTTTTATCTATAGATCAGGAAAGTAATAGCTTCATCAATAGAGTACAAGTGAACATTTCGAGTTTTTAATCAACATAGTCAACTGTATGCGCTATGTTAATGGTTGAATCAAATATACTTGGGACCAAATTAAAATGTACTAACTTAGGGATCGAGACAAAAGTTGTACTGACATGTTAACTATATGCCTGAAACAATAAGGGAGACTAACTGATTCCTGAGTAGTAATAGTAAACTGTCTAACTCAGTATTGGACAAATCTTATTTATTATAGGAATAAACAATGAGGGTTCGAATCATTCTATGAGGATGAGTTTCTTTACAATCATAGACAAGTGCAGAAAGCAAATAACTTGAGCTTGTAAACTATCTTAACTGCATTCAGCTGGCTAGATTTGGTTTACCAATACTTTATAAAGATTTTTTACTAACATTATGCGAACCCGAACTACAAGCAAATCTATCTGATAAAACTACCAATCAGTCAAATCCTTTTAATATATGAATGATTTTACCAACGAAATAGCATTTATATGACGCCAGAAAATGTACATGTATATATGAAAACGTCGGTTTACTGTTGATGACGCTATTGGAAACAAGTAATTAGTTATTATTAAGTGATGATATCGGATAGTTAAATCTGTATCAAGTTATTCTCCTATTTAACAGACGTGAGTATTGTTGAATTACATCAAGTGCTGAGATTAGTATAACCTTTAAAAAGATGTGTCTGAAGATAGTTCACATTGCAATCTGATATCAGCTACAGACAAATATTTCGTCTTGGTCTGAGGTTCTTCAACAGATAATCGACGGCTATACATTGAATCGGGACTAAAATCTTCAGTTATTACGGTGAGCACGATACCATTCACTTACAAAGACTGAATTCAATGATCATTATTTTCGAATTTTAGGGATGTAGTTAGCACTTCGGCGCTGGTAGAAAAACAATCAATGCAAACATCTGTACAAATATATTTTAACGTGGATCCTTTTGTTGTCTACATTTACGGCATTAATATACACCACAAAGTAGGAACTAATAAAGTTATACGATAAATTATACAGATACTTGATAAAAATAAAAGGAAATCGAAATAGGAAAAATGCAGTACATTATATACTTTCGTAATGAATCACATATTTGATATACGAAGATGACTACTCAATAGTGGCTAATGATTCTTTCAACTGTTCATCTGGGCAGATTATTTCATCATTAGTTGCCAGGAGAATACAATAATGATCAAACAACTGCATTGTCACTTCAAGGTCATCCAATAGTTCCAAATGTTCTACTCTAAAATAAAAATACAAGCAATAACGAACTCATATGAAAGCTACACCTTATAAATGCATGTCCAAATAGGTAAAGTGAGATTTAAGAAATCAAAGTTAAATAATTAAATCTTAATTCTCATAAGGACAAGACTAATCAGCAGTTGACCCCCCCCCCTGGTATATCATTTCAAGTGCAAATCCTCACTTACTTCAGGTAAACTCACGTTATATTTTTTCAACTCAAATTATACACATATTCATGAAGTGAAGGTCTGATTCAAAAATTTTGATACCTCATATAAAATGTTTAGATTCAAATGTTATTCGTCTTTACATCAATATTGGAAATGATCACGAAATATGAGACAGAAGATTAGTGATAATGAAAGATAAATTTTATTTTACTATGTATTATGAAGTTGAAAAACGACCCAATCTAATTTTACCTGTATCGAGTACTGGAAGGTAACATCTTATAAACTTGATTTATAGTCCATCCTTTGGCTTTTTTCCAACCAGCCTTAAAAAATCTGTAAAAAAGAATGAAAAACAATAAAAAATATGCAGATTTTTTAAGTAAATGAATGTTTCAGCTGAAGATTTCTATGGAAATTAAAACAGTGTTTTTATTTGAAGTCCTGATGATAAAAGTGAATTTTAAAAAAACAAAAACAAATGATTATTCTACGGACAATTTCAATCAACCGAAATGAATCTATCATGATGTGGAAATTACATTAAAGTTTAAATTTTACGCTACGTATTAACGTTACACATCATGGGTTTAGTCCCAGTACTATCTGAAAACACGAGTGATGTTTGAAGATGACACCATGAACATTTGAATTTTGATGCAAACAAAATAACAGACAGCTTTGTTACGATTTTGAAAAACTAAAATATAACTGTATCACCAGGATCTGTATTCAAGACCCCAGTAAATTAATGTAAGCTCTCAACACCGAAGTTGTCCTTGAGTAACAGTTACATCAGAAATTGTTAATATGTTAACAGTAGGTAAACAGATTGAAGGAACTCTTATGAAAACTTTTTTCAAATGGGTTTAAAGAAATATTCGTTTTAACAAACAAATAGCTATTCTTCATGACTAAGTCAAATATTTTGATTATTACTACTAATCGACTAGCACTACATAACCATTTGATTTATTTAAACAGTAAGTGCTTTGAACTAATTACCTTATGGAGGAAAACGGTTCTCGAACTGTATTATTTCACCTTACAATGTGATGAAGCAGTGAATATAATATTCGATGGAACTTGAATCAGCAATTGCTGTTTGAAGAGATTACGAGATCACCTAAAGTCGGCGAACGGAGTGAAGGATCAGCAACAAGACAAGCTAAACTACTTCAATACGTCTCAGCCCTGGTAACCAGAGGGAGAAGACCAGGTTTAGGGAAAGGTGTATCCTAAAAGCAACCAGAAGCACGAACCAATGACATTTAGGGTACTTGCAAGTGAGAGATACAATCCGAAGGTAAAAATAGGCGCTTTTGGATTGAAACCAAGAAATCCAAATTTCTTAAATAAAATTCCAAAAATAGGACGTTTACCACGTGATTTATAAGGATCTAGCATCACCAGTCACATTTACATTTGTGGAAATTAAAATAGAAATCTCACCGTTCTTCTTGAGTAGCCAGTGAATGACATGCATTAAGACCAGGAAGCTCACAGGAACGAGCACGAAAATTTTTGATCATAATAGAACCAAATGAATCGCTCATATTAACCTGCACAGTAGATAACACAGGATTCGAATACAGCGAATAAACACTCCTTTTTCAACTAGTTTTGCATCATGACGATAATAATGACAATGATAACAATGATAATTGTAATAATAAAGTCGATACTGATCAGTTAGTGACGTATGAGATAGTGTTATAAATTCATTAGTGTTTATGAAGGTAATTGAGAATGATTGACGAAATAATCAAAAGGGGAATAAAATAGTTAATATTCAGAGGTACTAATTACGAAATAAATAAATTGAGTATGTACTCATACATAAGGTAACATAATACGAGAGGATTGGCGAAATTTTGACGAGAGATCGAATGTTTATAACAGTTACATAAGCACAGTTTTTATAAAGAGAGTTAGTGTAATAGATCATTAGCAAAGGAGTGATAGTCACTAAGTAGCGATCATAGTGTAAGTCCAGTTTGTATATTAATCGGGAGAAGAGATAACATGTAAAAGACCAATCATAGGACAGAAGAATAGCTGCCATTTGGTGACAACAGTAACTCATCTATTAGCCTAATGATAGTCAAAAAAATCTCGTTTAATTTAAGGCTATAAAAACACGACGAAGTAAAGCTACTTTCGAATTCATGTGATTTACTTCCATTTGAAGCTTGCTGTGATGACACCAGTCAGTCTGAAATTGAAATATCAATTGTCAAATTTTATGAACCAGGAAGATATAAAAATCACTCTGAACTAGAAATGGATTAAATGAAATTAGTCATTTAGCTATGAACAATATAAAATTGGGAATAAACATCCATCGTCCTGCATCGTCGTACCTCACACTAGCACAGGAAGTTAAGATGAAAATAAAGAGTCGAAATGATTAAAAAACTTCTGTGAACATTAAAGGAATCGATGTTCAATACTGTGGGTTACCATAAGAATAAAGCCATGAACATATTCTTGAGAAAAAACGGTTAAACCAAATTAAAAAAGTAGCTAGGGTTATCTAACTATTTTGGTCCGTAAATTATCCATTCGTCCGCAATTTGTAGATGGACACACTTAATAAAAGCTGTTTGCTTTCTAATTAAGTGTTTAAACTTCAATTTGTGTCAAGGCTCAGTTTATTTGAAACGCCTGCATACGGACAGAAAAATATCCGTTTGAAGACAATGAATTTTATGAGTGTATGATAATGTCTACGGACGAAAATAAAAGTGTAATAATGACAGTTAGAGTTTAACAGACCTCTTCATTTCAAATAACGAGATAACGAAGAGCCTGGAATTGAAGTAGTTAAAGAACATTTGCTCACAGATTCAAGGTATGAAAATGCCATTATACTCAAAGGAAGCTATTCAAAAAGTTTTCAAGTGTCTCAAAACATTTAATAAGCCATTTGGAGCTGAAGACAGAAAATCGTATATACGGAATGTTCTGTAACTGAAGAGTTAGAGAATAGTAACTTTAGGATTTGTTAAGAAAATGGAGTTTCGCTAGCTTGTCATAATTATATTTATTAAAATATTTCTGATCTATACCACGAATTTAAGTTTAAATAACTGAATAGTATTGATATATTTCATATATTAGACGTGAATGACAGATGAAACTTGACATGGTTCTGTTCGCATTATATCTACAAACGAACAGAAACTTTGATATGGTCCTGTGAATGTTACAAATAACATTCGTTACCAAGGAATACAAATATGTCACGGTACATAAGGCTTGTTGCTGGAAATAATGATAGAGTTTTGATATACTTCAGAATTTGATGTTTAAACTAGGTTTATTATTAGAAAAAGAGATGTCATCATTATCCACTTTATAAATATAATTATATTTTTTAGTAAGTTTTGCGTGAAATATCACGAAGTCATACATACATCTAAATGTATTTATAGTTGATCATTAACCGTAAAAATGAGTTTTAAAAAAGTATACCTACCTGTTCATAATGCAGGAATGAAGCACGTGGGAAGTTTACCGAAAGACCCTTTATTAACTGACAGCTTGCCTCTGGAGACATATAAACAAGTACGCATTCAGCAAGGAAGAGAGTTGGGCAACTTTTGGAACAACCAGCCCCATTAACTGTTGAACATAAAACATCTAGAAGATCTTGAACAGATCTTCGTAAATCGAAACTCAGTAAGTGAAACCGTCCCGTTTCAAAAACGTAGTGCAAATTATCATGTAGTGTGTCAACAACAGAAGTCTTTTGATTTACTGTAAGGTTTAAATTATCGTCTTTAAGTGGTGAAGCATCTGGGTTCAAAGTATAAAGCTTTTCGTTAGATATATAGCATACATATAAGAGAATATGGTAAAATGAAAATGTTGAACGGTCAGTCATTCAATATTAGCAGAACATATATTAGAAATGGATATGATAAACAGAAGCTAAAGTTTAGAATGCGATCATGTAATACTAAAAAGTGTGCGGGAGGGGGGATAAGCTGGTATGTTTATCTGAAACGATATGTAGGGATGTGGCAAAATAACAAATAAATAAATGTCACTGAGTGGTAACTTCCGCCCGATAAAATAACCGTATCCATGTTTATAACACAATTGGTAATACTAATATTGAGGGCAGACCACTAAGTAAAAGCATATGCCAATGCTTCGGGGTCGCCACGGAATTCCAGATCAGTGCATGGAGTACTTATGTGACAGGGCTTGAAATCAACAATATATACATCCGATTAGTGCCCTTGTCTTACTTTTGAATGTCACAATACCTCAAACCAATTGTCCTGATTTTGCATGGTTTACCTGATTTTAAAAAAAATTAACATGGTTAGTATCCTTATTTTGACTTTACTGGATTCCTTCACTTCAAATATCTTCTTCATGGTGTAAAATGGCCTTAATGTAAGTTGGATTGAATTGATGTCTCGCTTCACTGTTTCTGTTTGTCGTTTAAGGTTTCAAGATTCTTTTGAACCATTTTCATGCGAACCTATACGGTGTCATTTACCGATACTCAGCAATATCGGATTTCTGACAATTAGACATGAAGATACTATAAAGAATGAAGGACATACATACTAGTCTTATTAGCTGCTCACATAAACGGATGACAATGGTGAACGTCGAGAATCACACTTTGTAAAAATAAAATCCATACATAATTCAGTGTAGCGCCACTAACAATGTGAGTTTATAGGGCTTAGTAAGTCCGGGAAATAATAGCCAGAATATTGTTTGATAAGCAGATAAAGGTACATTGAATTATAAAATATTAACTGTCCGTAAAGGACCAATTTACTATACATACAAGAATAATAAAAAGTGAGAGTTACTTGTTGATTCAAGCAGCCTTCTCCGTTGTATTGTCATAGCTTTTTGCTGAATGTTAGATGCCAAGTCTACTTCGACGTATAGCTCTGGGGTCTCCTGCGCATCTTTTAGAGCGAAGTACAATGTATCTGAGCCTGCACCAAGGTTTACAATTTGGCAGGCTCCACCTGTGGACTGGATAAGGTAATTTGTACTTTTCAAAAGTAAGGAACCTTTATAAATGATATGGCAATCGCTCTGAATGCAGTTGTTCTTATAAAATAGCCACGATTAATCTCCGGAGTTTTGTGTGACGGAGAGGAACAAAAATACCTGATATACTTGTCTTTCCAGTATCCACGAGAAATGGCATGAGCTTTACTGGATGTAGCGTCGTCATTAGTTAGTTGTATGATCTCATCTGTAGGACTACTCATCAGAGTAACGCTTACCGCATACAACCCGCGAAACACAAATGTTTCAGTCATCAGTCTTCAGTAATAAGGACAGTAGGTTGGTGAACCTGTGTTAATCCTGACAGATTGGTTACCAGTGAAGGTCCGGCTTCTCCTTGAAAATATTCACTGGTGGGGCTGATACCACTTGTTCGGGTAAGGCGTTTCGATGAGAAAAACAGGACCTCAATTTAAGTTTATTAGATCGCGGTTTATGAACCTTCTTGCTATGACCTCGGAGATTATTAGTGCTGGAGGGAGAGAGAGTTTAGAAAGACCCTCCACTAATTTCGTTCCCACACTCTGGACACGCTCAAGTGAGTTAGTATCCTTTACCAGATATGGGCTAGCTGCTTGGATACAGTGCTCTAAATGTGGTATTACGTAGGTGGGATATAAAATTCAAAACATTTCCTCGTCAAAAGATTTGAACGCTCGTCGAAGTGACCATAACGCACGAAAACCTTTGCCAGCGGCTGTGTTGCAATGCGTAGTTGTTTTTAATTCATGAATTAATGCTACTTCTAACTCTTTATGCTCTTGAACGCATGGAAGAGGTTTACCCTCAATAGTGTAACGGTAACTATTACCGTGACCGATGTGCATTAACACTCTTCCTAGAATTGGCTTCTAAGCCCCAACCTCTAGCCCATCTGACTAAATAGTCTAAGTCAGCTTGGAGATCCAGATGATCAGCCTCACTTTTTATTGTTCTCCAGATTTTTACGTCATCCGCAAACGATAATTTCGACGACCCGAGCAACAGCGGTAACTCATTGAGGTAGAGAAGGAAGAGCAGAGGGCCTAAGATGGTGCCTTGGGGTACACCACTTTTGACCGGCTTACAATCGGATAGCGTTCCATTGACCCTTTTTCCCTGTCTGCGGTAACATAAGAAGTTACCTATCCACTCCTGTACAGTGCCTATTATTCCGAAGCTCGTGAGCTTCTGCATAAGACCGAAGTGTGAAACCTTGTCAAATGCTTTGCTAAAATCTATGAATATGAAATCGACAGAACGACCTTTATCTAAGGCTGCTAGCCAATCCTCTCTCTCAATAAGTTAGCCAAGCATGAACGCTTGTTACGAAATCCATGTTGCTCAGGAGCTAACAGATTGTGTGAATCTATGTGGCTTAACAACAGAACACGAATTATCTTTTCAAGTAACTTAACGACAATTCTAGGTAGACTGACAGGCTAGTAGTTAGATACGATCTGTCTTTTGCCATCCTTAAATATAGGACTAACTATAGCGTCCTTCCAATCTCTAGGGAGTTGAGCGAGTGAGAGGGACATGTTGAAGAGTGTCACAAGCGGTTTTGAAATAATGTCCGCAAGAGATGACAGCAGTCGTGGATGTAACCCGTCAGGGCCCGGTATCTTACAAGGTTTGAGGTTAGTTATCAACGGAAGGACAGTTTCCTCAGTCACCTGTACAGATTCAATGGTTGGTATCTCGGCATTTATGGTACTCACGCTTAAACGATGCGTGACCTGTCAACAAGAATAAGTCCCAGAAGTGTTTCTTACGCTTTAACAGCTTCCGGGTTTCCTTATTCATCCATGGAGGGCATTGTGATAGCTAACGTACTGACCATGGATAAACGGCGACGTTGTGAACTCGAATGTAGTCTTAAATTTATTCCATTAGTCTTCGATCGATCCATCCGCGTCGACCGACCAAACAGTCGAGATAGCACAGTTTCTGATTGCCGGAATATTAGCTCGCCAGATATTGGGACGGGGTGGAGCAGATACGAATTGTATACCATGTGTCCTAAACTTAAAGTGAAGTACAACGTGATCACTGTTCACTAGTGGGGGAAGGTGCTGAATATCAAAGACATCCTCACAGTGGCGGGTAGTGACGGACCATGTTTCAAGTCAATCTTCGCCATCAGTACCAATATTACCAGTACATCTCTCATCAACCTTCCTATTGGTTAACACAAGGAGGCTGAGTGCTTACTGGATGATTGATATTTTGCTCGAGCAACAAAAACTACAAAGCCAATGAGAGTTGGGCTTTGAGCACTCTTTATATGCAGTGGGGCTCAATCGGGTGCACATCTTATGGAACCACTTATTACACTCATCATATTGCATCCCTTCCTCCATGGTCATGCACATTTATGAGCAGAGCTGGCCATCTTGAAAATCAACTACAATGGTGACACAAACAGGATATGTAAAAGAATTCTCAAACCTTAACTAAATAAATCAAGTAAAAGTCGACCAAGTATGCTTCGATGCAATAAATACACAGAAGCAAAATCGAAAAACTCAATACAATATCACTTTAACTGGGGTAGATGCAATTAAAGTGTAAACAGTAGTTTTGATGCGTAATTTACGATCAAAACAGTCAATTAACTCAACGAGAAACAATACCACTGTCTTTTTAAATTCTCGCCCTGTTTATAATGCAAATGTTTATTGATGGAGTTCATGAAGCTTTCATTCAGTCGGGTTTTGAGTTTGAAAACATTATGACAGTGATCCTTTTATTTGGCAACTAAACGATTTCAAACAAAGTGAATGTTTCGGTTAATCAAGTCGCATTCGTGTGTAGCTTTGTGAACTTCTACAAAAAGCGGAAAAAAATCAAAGACAACTATCATCAAGTAGTAGAAGCTGTACTCAAAATCCATTTAATTAAAATAAAATTCCACATTACGTTTAGGGACTAAACCTCAAATTCCTTCATGGATGGTTATGTTGTATAGTAGCTTTTAGGTTATTACGTACTCGTATGATAGGTCCTGAATTTTTGATAGACCTCAGTAACTCAGAAATTATGATGCCAATGAACAATTTCTATCTCTTCAATAGTCCTATTATCTTCATAGGGAATTGTGATCTTAAATGTAATTACCTTTCGTATTCGTGTCCTTTTATTCTGTGATTAAAAGTCTCATAACTGTTTGTGTGTACCTGCACACTTATTATTTTATCCAGGGTCTGCTTCCTTATTGCACTGTACACTATCTGGTTTGAGTTATATTAATGCTTGAAGTAAGTAATATTTTGAGTGGGCACGTCTGTATTCTCTAATCCTCAGGCAGAAATCATTCTTGTACTAGACTTGGTTTATCCAGGTATTCACTGATGCGAACTGAGTTAATAAGTATGCACGAAGTATGCATATTTCGGGAACGTCATCACCCGATTATATTGGGTCCAGACATAATCCAATTTAATGTGTTTTTCCTGGTAGTCGAAATCCGACATAAGGCATAAACTGTTGCGTGTGTCTTTATGAAGGTAAAGTTCATTCCCAGTTCATCTCTTACAGATTTGGGGTTCCGAAACACGTAGCGTTTTATTTGTTCAGTACGTCCGAGGTTATAACATGATAAGAAGTTTGTGGAGTCAGTGAAATTTCCCTTGTCATAGCCAAATAATCCGCTGTCGGGTCGCTGAACGTCGAACAGTTCACCGATGCTCGTCAAGTTCAAGGACAACCAACGAGCATCTGTTAATTGCACGCCATAAACCGGTCCATACGGTGGTGGTCACATTCTGTTCCTTACCAATATTTTTTCTGTAGTAACGTCGTTTGTAATGTACCGTCATCGAGGTAGCTGTAGTACCTGGGCGGGACCAAAGGGCAATCCATGTTAGGGGTTAACTATGTGGTGTGACTTCAACTTTAACTGTTTTCCCACACCATTCCCGTCTAACTGGAGTAGACCCATAATCATTCGACACAGACCATCTACGCAGGTGATCTACAAGTCTGACATACACATTAGGAGCTTCGTTGTAAAATATTGTGCACATAGTTAAGCAAATCGTCACTGTTACCACAACTTATACGGATAACTGTATGTGAGTACAGTAGCATCCACTTGTGCTGTATGTTGCAATGGTGTCTGTTCTATCACTCAACTGGTGGTTCGGAGCTTAGTTACTGAATGCATTCACCTTTTTCTGATTTTAGTTAACCACCTGCACACTAAAATAGGTCATAACTCCTTTCTACAGAGACTGAGGTTTCTTCTCATGATCTAGAGTAACCTCAGAGTAGCCTGAAATATAATTCGCCGGCAACGACATCTAACTCAGGTAAAATCAAACCCACAGAGATATTAGTATTGAATCTCATTAATCTCGAAAGTAATAGCACAAGAAAATACAATCCTACCCATAAGGCTTCTAGCCAAACCAACCCTCATCTAATGATGTAGTTACTATGGGATCCTGTTGATAATGCACCTTTACTGAGAAGAGCGAAGCCCTGTCAAAGGCTCAGGGAATTACACGGTTAGGTCGCACTCGGTGGATATGACAAAAAGTGGATCCCTAGAGCCTTCAGACAGGTCTTCTTTTAAAAATTAGTCTTGCTTTCACCGGAGGAAAGCTGACTCTAGTTGAAACGCTTGCTGCTTGTTATCGAAATATATATTTCGCCAATCCTCATATATAATCATCGAATTAAGTCGCGTTGGTGAATAACGGAACCAAATAAGTCAAAGACGAGAATAGACTTTTGAAAACATATATTTCCTACAGCCGTTGATCATAATGGAGGCAAAACAAGATGATGCTCAATGAAGAAGGCGAGTGAGCGAACCCGATTTGATCAAGCGTTAATCGATGTTTATATTCAGATAAAAATAAGTTACAGACATGTGGTGAGTGAGATAGAAAATGTTCATACACACGATTGCATGAAAAAGTCAAGGTTGATAAGTGAACAATGAAAAAGGTTGAAATGTGACTCAAAAACAATGAATAATAATAGTAATAATATATATTTCTACACGTGCAGGTACACGCCATTTTCACAGACATGATCTATAAATTACAACATTTGTTGGTGCATAACGTGCTTCCCAACTTATTAAGTTTATAGTTGTTGCAAAGTAGACTCACAGAGCGCTTGCTGTAAACTATGACATTGAGGGGACACACGTCAAATTTGTTCCAGACGTCAGAAGTTTCATAGCTGTGCCCTCAGAGCAAGATTCTGAAGAAGAAAAAAAGAAACGGAAAGGCAGCAAGGCACATTGGTATGAACGTCAAACGTTGCTCAACGTTAGATTAAATTCATATTATCTCTTGTCAGAGTGAAATGAAGTCAGAAGCTCCATATTAGAGAATGTAATAATAAAGAATAATGAGTTGTGTC